ATTCGAGTGCTCCCACCCTCCCGCGAACGGTAAGAGGCGCGCCGCTGCTCGTCGCGTGTGCTTGTATTATACGACCGTATGTGAGCTTAGCCCCGAGCTGTCCCCCCTCTCCCCCGCCCTTTTCTCGTTTTTTCGGCTGGCTCTCGTCGTAATATGCAAAACTCGGGCAGCCGCCGACCGACTTAAAACGGGATATTTGCGCGCGTCGTCCTTTCTTGCGTGGATCTGCCCTGCAGTGTAAATATACCTGCGCTGTTGTGCATCGTATAGTATACCGCCCTTGCACTTTTCAAGGGTGTACTGATTTGTTTTTTTTTTTTTTTTTTTTTTTTTCCAAGGGCAGTTTAACATATATTCAAAGCAGACTAGGCGTACCTGTGGGTACGAATGGTTTTTCCCTCTGTTCATCGTCTGGGCCCTTTGGCGGTGACTGTGTGTATATATACATAATAGGTTATTGGTATTGAGCGGATGCAAATCATCCCTCGTCTAGGTGTATAACCCCTTGGGCCCGGCGCTGTTTGCCAATTTATAAAGTCTCTGTGGTTTGCGAGAAATTGCGGGAGCTCGGCTTCGTAGACGCATTTCAAAGTTACCGTCAAAGTAGTTTGGGGTTTTTTTTTTTTAGACCCGTGAGCCATGGTTTTTTTGTGTCTGATGATTCACGTGTTTTCTTTTAGAAGGAGCATTGTAACTGGCAAAAATTTGATTTAAAAAATTTGAGCGTGTTCGCAACATTGAATTCACATTCGGATGTAAGTTTTTTCAATCTTAATAACAATTATGTTTAACGAAGCATGAAAAACATTTCTTTCTATTGTCAAATGGTCAAAATCGAAAAATCATTATGACCCCGGTGTGAATAAGATAACGGTTAAAAAATAAAAAAATAAAGATACCGACGTATATGGTTTGGAGTTTGAGAAAATTGCAAGCCGAACATTATTGGCGAAGAGGTACGCATCAGTTGTACCCCTTTTCAAGTCCCTGAAAAAAAAAAAAATAAAAAAAAAAAAAAAAAAAAAAAAAAAAAATAACCATCGCTCCGAAAGTCAATCAAATGTTTACGCACGAGTATATATACAATGTTTCATTCCACATGAGCGTACTTACGTTGGAAAAAAAAAAGAAAAAAATTACAGCCGCACAACACAGTAAGACCATCATTATCAGTGCCAACACACAATAATACACCCGACTCCCGCTCGTCTTCCGAATCGATGATAATAACAACACAATGTGCAGAGTACATACACAGCCCAGTGTACGCGTTCGGTGGCAAAAACTGTATATACGCAACCCGCGTCCAGCGTAGGGTACCCATAAGATGCACTTTGGACATTACGCAGCATCAGGTGTATATATATATATATATATATGCAGCTCAACGGTGGAAAAAGCAGCAGCCTTGAAAGCATCACACGCGCACACATCGCTACCTTGTAGGAGGCACGTAGAGCCTTAAGTGCTATCCCCGAGGCGGTCTTTCCTCTCCTCCTCCCCCCCCCCATTCTCCTGGGCCCCGCTGCCTCCTCCTCCTCCTCCACTGCTGCACCACCCCGGGGCATCGAGCCCAGTGATTACCCATTGAGGGTGGAATTCATTACTGCGAAATCCTTTAACTCTTCTCTCGCTCGCTTTTCGCAAAGATAGCGTGTATACATGTGTATGTATGTGTGGGGAGGGAGGATGATGCACTGGCGAGAGGAGGAAGAAAAGGAAGGCGAAGAGGGAGCTGCGGGTAAGGTATATATAGGAGAGGCATTGAAGTAATTGAAGTAAAGAAGCAAGAGAGCACCGGAGAGATAATTAAGGGTAGAGAGAGAGAGAGAAATCGATCTTTGTTTTCGAGGGTAATGAAACGGGTGGTGGTGGTGGTAGCAGCAAAGATTCGCACGGGCATGAGGCTATACTTTAATTTTATTTTATTATATATAGTTAGAAGCGGGAGAGAGGGAGAGTTGGGGTTTTACGGGGGCCCCCGGGATGTATTGCGTATGCGCCGTTTCGATCGAGAGCGCACGCGTGCTATTTTTCCGAAATTGAATCATCGAATTAACCCCTTTTTGCGCGCGGAATTGTTTAATTTGCAGTAAAAATTTTTCGGACCGAATTGAAAAGCCCCATCCCCCCCCCCTTGGTAACCGAAGCTCGTCTCGGGTGTCTCATGAAGAGGAACCCCATACCGTATATGTACATGTGCCCGGGGTCCAAAATCGCTGCGAATAATAACGTTACACCATTGTTGCTGGGAGAGAGCAGTGAGTATACGTGCCGTGGGTACGGTGAAAAATTAAACGCCTCGCTCGCGTCGATAAAGTTCGTCCTTACGCGTATACACAGTAATGACAAGGGGAGAAGCTCGGCGATTGTATCGCGAGGATTAATTGCCACCCTGGGCCTTTATTCAAATCGGAAATTGACCACTTTTTCAAAGTCGCGCGTTGCGACCCTCCCACGAAACTTGAACGATGCGGAGGAGCATATAAATTGGAGTATCGATGAGAAAAATTACTGTGCTCAAGGGGGAGGTGTATATTACAGGGTTTTCGAGCCGATTTTTCACGGAAATTGCAAAAATTTCGTCATAAGTGCCGCAAAAGAGCTCGTTTACAAATTTTAATCAAATATTTATCGGACGTTCGAAGGGAAAGAGGAAAAAAAAAGAAAATTTGCGTTTAATCGATTAATCGGCCCAAGGTTTATCTTGGCCCTTCGTAAATGGATCATGACGCGTCAAAAACAATTTTCTGCGGATCAGTAATAAGCGAATATGCCGTGAAAAGCGTAACCACGATGGGTAACAGATAAACCGCAAAACTAAATACCCGAAGGATCGAAAAAAAATATTTTAAAAAAGTACCAATGCAAGAGAGAAGGAAAAAATAGTGAAACAAGTGTATGAGTGACAGTCCGTTTGTCTATACGAGTGATAAGTAATGGAGAACTGCTCTCTCGTCTTGTCCCATTGAGCACAGCACACATCTCAAGCCAATATGATATATTTACTTTGTCCCTCTAAAAATGTTTTCCTCTCTTTTTCGTCCTTGCACAGAGTCGAGCGACAATTACCCGTATGATAACTTTTGAAACTGCTTATAGCCAAGCCAAAAGCTCAAAATACACATTACACGACGCTCATTTAAAATGAAGAAAAAAAAAGAAGGAAAAAAGTTTCTCCAATTTCCACGTAAGAATTTCGATTGTAAGAGGAAAAAGGCGGATCGAGTATCCAGCAATTACCGAGTCATGTATAATATTAAGCATATAATTAAGTACAAATTTAATCCAATTTATAGTCTCCGCTGTCGAGTACGTAAAATATGTGTAACACACGATACAGGAGAGATAGAGAGAGAAGGGGGGTAGAGAGACAGTGATACGGAGGGAAAAAAAAAAAAAAAACATCCATCCGAGTAATGTACTTTCAGGCACGATGTAAGAGAGCAACAGGTAGCTTGATATACCAACGCGTGTATTGGCGAGCTACAGGCCAACACCTCTCGCTACCGCGCACTACTTTACGTCGCCGCGCTAATGCGTGTATATATTTATTTGTCAACCAGTTGAGAATTACTAGTAATATATATATATACACACTTGCTACATGCGAGCCCGCGTGTATTATATTGCTCGACAGAGTCTTGCCTCCCATGTGCACTTAAAAGTACGTACTGTGTGTACTGCATATTATAGTCTGGGAAAATCGCTCTTGACCATTCATCAAAGACGTTTTTCTTTAAATCCACACTCATACGCGTACACGTATATTTCACACTCGGAGTGCAGTAATCCCCATAGATTTGAGGCGTTTCATGGGAACACTCTCTCATTTCCTTTTGCGCTTTTACGCGAATTATGAAACATTAGCGAGTTCTACAACCAGCGTTCGAATGAGGGAAGCTGTGAATGGCTTGTGTTACGCTCAGACTTTGGTGTTAGTACTATATCAGGTTTTTTTGAAATGTCATTTTTTGTTTGTAAAAACAATGATTTATCTATGCTCAAGTTTTTATGGTTTTTGGTATCTGAATATTTCTGTCATATTATAGTATAGAAGAAACTCAAAAAAAAAAAAAAAATTTAATGGTAGATTGGTAGAAATTACTATTTGTTTTGAAAAAATTGTTACTTTAAAGTCTTTCCTCAGCTTACCGCATTTAGACAGGCAGAATAACGTATTCAGGATACTTGTACTAACAAATTTTAGTGAGTACGATATTTTAAGGTAAGTAAAAAGTGTAAGGCTTTTTATCAAAAGAATTTATTTATCTTAAATGAACAGTGGACTTACAAATTTATTAAGTGATTTTCTTTTGCCCAATCGCAGCATGAATCTATTTTTCACTTAAATATTTATTAAATATTTCCATGCCGTATATTTCGTAATTTTGTACTTAATCGAAACTTATAAATATGTATTTACATTTACCAACAATAAACTAACATATTTTTAATTTTCATTTTGACAGTAATTTTTTTACGTTCAAACGCTAAAACAAAAACAAAAAAAAAGAATCAACTTATTCTTTCTAAAACTACGCAAAAAAAAATGTACACGGCGTTCACAATGTTTTAATCGATCTGTGAGTAATATCGCACGCATCGTTTGGATGTACAGATTTTTGAAAAAAAGCATCCCATGTCGCAATAAGATGTCACTACGAAATTCAAACGAATCTTCTTCTCTCAACACTCAATAACCTCTCTCTCTCTCTCTCTCACTCCTGCGTATAAAGTATAGAGAAATGGCAACTTGGGATTTGTCAGGAATGAAAATTCATTCGTTTTAATAACAATCACACACACTTTTTAGACAACCGATAGAGTACTCAAAAAGTCTCGGTCACACAGAAAAATCACGATCGTAGATTTTTGTTTATAACCATTAAAACACGAAACACCACTTTTTTCGTCCAATCGCATACGTTTTAGGACTCGCAAAAAATTCCGTCACTGAAAATTAAAAAAAGTACCGTTGTTGCACTTGACGCGGTAGCTCAACTGAGCAAAGTCTGCTGATAAAACGTGGGATCCAAGATTTTTATTTTCTCCAGAGAGATGTTAATCAAATCGACGATCCCGTACCTACTGGCGGCACACGCCAACTTCTTGGCCATGTCCACCGACATGTCCTTGACTTTGCCGCAATAAATGTAACGCAGCAGCTCCAACATCACCTCGTACCTCACGTTGTCAATGATGATCGGGCCGCGTTGCTTTTTTTTCCGAGCCTCGTAAAATATCCACCCGAAAATCGCCGATTTGTTGATCAGTATGACCTTGTGAGCCCGCAACAACTTCCCGCAGACCATGAACGACACGTCGCTCTCGATTTCGCTCCCTAACATGCCCTCAAAGTCAAAGTTGATCGACACATGTCGGACCGCCTTGTCGAGCGGCTCCTGGTTCTCGTCCAGCCTTCCCCCCCAATCCGTCCAGAACTGGCACATTATCCGAAGGTTGTCCATCACCACACTATCAAAGTCACTGTTGATGCGCTTCAGTTTCATGAATTTCAACAAGCCCACCGTCGACATGGGCTCGATCACAGCCTCGCGCACGTCACTCATGAAGAAGCTGCAGTTGTGGTCGTTGATCATGTTGAACAAGTACCTGATGTGAATGTTCTTTTTGTTGATGGACAGGATGCCAAGGCTCAGGTAGAACTCGTTGTCCTCCGCGTCGAAGTACTTGGGCGTAAAGACCAGACGCAAGGCGTTGCCGTTTACGTGAAACATGCCCGACTCTATCTGCTTCCCAACCGGTAGATCCTTGTAATTCTTCTGTATGGTCCACATGAAGGTCGCGTGGCACACCCCCTGTATCCTCGTAATGTTACTCAAAAAATCCATTGTTGCGGAAAATCGACGGCTTGTTGTGACCTGTTACTTTGGCTACTCGACGAGGATCCACTTACACGGGTGTAGGCCGTTGCTCACTGCTCGGGTTTTGGGTGCTCGCATGACGAATTTTTGAAAATTAGAAACTTCTCTTTTCACCTCCCCCCCGTTACTCGGGTAAGGGAATCATAGGAAACCGCACGAAAGTTTCTCCTGTGCGTGCGTTGGGACTCCGAGAAACAATATCGATAATGACTCCTACTCACCTATAATGACGCCTCGACTTTACGATGAGGTTTAAGAGTTGGTATTTGTAGAAAATGGTTAAATGCATTTGTCTACAAGTGAAATTACGAATATCAGCTGAAAATGAATGTACAGTACTTTCAACACGACATTTAGTTGGTATAACTGACTACAAAATACCAGTGAAAATTGTAAGGACTCGTTTTACGTTTTCTCAGTTTTGTTGTTTGCGTGAAAATCGTTCACTTTAAAATCCAACTCGCACTTTAATCGTAACATCATTGCTTTGAGCCTATATGTTTACTTGTTGGCATTATGCGGTTAAAAAAAAAAAAAAAAAAAAAAACGTTAATGTACCGTTTAAATTATTACGGTTGCAAAGAGTAACGTTTTACATAAATGAATTTCAAAAATAACAACGCAGGCATGAAGTTTACACCATTAGGAGACATAACAGCTCACTCTTATCTCTGGAACAAACGTATATGGAGAGCTAAGGAGAAAAGCGTTTTTCTTGCCTTCGGCTAGGACAGCGGGTATTGTCGTTCGCTGCGCAGATGGGGACATGTAATTCCCAGTCGTACGGGCATGGAAATTCGGGTGTAGCGCACGTACGGACTGCCCGAAGCCTTTACTCCAGTCGTTCGGTCTCGGTGGCATTTCCGAGTATCTTCGACACAACGATCTCTCTTTCGGGACACCGAAAGAATAGTTGCACTTGTGAATTCCAAGTTGTATAAACATCCAAATAGTAAAATGGTACGTTTTTTTCATTTATTGTACGTCCACTCTAACACACATATACATGTTCATACGTTCCAATTTTGATATTCAAACTTCTAGTTTACCGAATTATTTAACTATTTAATGATTAAGGATTTTTTTGAGGCAAATATTATTCAAATCACACCATTCGTTGATAACAATTCGTTAAAAAAAAAAAAAAAAGTTCACAAACTATTAATGGTAGTCATTGCATCGTCGTTTATCTGCGCGGTGTTCCATTCGATCGCCAAAATAACCCCGAAGCCTGTATCCTTTTGCAATAAAAATTTCGTTGCACTGCATGTAACGGTTTGCCATTATTTTCTCTCGTTTTTCCTTCCTCGCAACTTACATTCATACATATATACGCTTACCCTTCGAGTATTTTTATAAACACAATGTGCATGTATTTGCCGTAATTGTGGGAGTAGGTGATGGATCAAGACAGCCATACAATGCGATCTAGATAAGGAGCGCGGCTCTCCTTTTTCCGCACGTACAATGGCACCTGATCTACACGATGGCCGCAAAACTAGGTAGTCCTCCCGTTCTCCTTACCATTTTTTTTTTTTCTTTTTCGTAACTTTGTGTCCTCTAAACCAAGCAACCGCGAGCATAGTCGCATTCACCGGGTGTAATTGGACGCTTGGGTTTTATGGTTCATTGGAATTTTGTCCGTATACTTATACGCGCGGAGTTGAAATAATATCGCGGCACGACGCGTGAGGTTTTTCTTTATTTTTTCTTCAATCAAATTCTCTTTTTCCTCGAGCAACGATAATTTTCCAAGGCGATATTGAATACGACCGAGAGCCGAGAGCTCGTATCCACTCGCGCTTGAAAAAAAAAAAAAAAATATATATTAATGTCAACCTGGTAATGAATGAGGAGTAAAAAATACTCACCGACTATCTACACGCGTATATATACATATAAATGTATAGGTAAGGTGTATTAAGCAGTTAATAAGCCAACGCGAAAAATTAAAAGCGACAACCGGCTTTATGCGAACGCGCGCGCGCAAAAGCCATAATGTAACCTCTCGCCGGCGTTGATAAACAATTTTAGAATTCCTACAACCGATCTCATTACTCGGAGGCGCCCGAATTGAGCAACGCGCCGGCGAGCGTGAAAATTTATCCAAAAAACGAAAAACACACGCAATACCTCATTATCGATTGTTTTTTTTTTTTTTTTTTTTCTTAAAGCACCAACTCATGCATAAATTAGCCATGAAAATTTCCAATCAATCGATTGCGCGACACTTTTTTTGTTTCCTTCCCTCGTTAGCTTTTCAACTCTTTACGAGCGACAAACCGTATACGAGTTAGCCTCGCGCAATCCGATTAGATAAAGCCCAGCAGCAAATTCGAGCTCTCGCCGCGCTACAGACGGGCTTATCTCAGAGCACAATCGAGCGTATTTTCTCGCTCGCGGGGGAAAAATATACACCCGAGTGATTAGCTCGTGACGCGACAACGAGAGAAGGGGGCGAATGAAATGTAAGGGCTCCGGATATTTTTCTCAACTTTTTATACCCACCTGTCGGCGCTCCGTGAAATTTTGCCATAAACATCGGGAGAGATCGCTCTGCATTACCGAGCTTTTGATATGACCAGGAAAGTTGGAAAAAAACAAAATGCGCCGAAAAGCACCGGAGAGAGGGAAATAAAAAAGGGAAACGAAAATACGGAGTGCGATAATGTTGTGTATATATTGGAAGGGGCTCATTAGCTTACACGGATTCTTGTGTGGATGCTTAGGTGGGAGGACCCCGCCAGGAGCGCGGGGCAGTTAATACTCGCATATTTTACTCGGCGAGATACGATCTCTCTTTGCTGGGATGTGCCTCGCTTAAAGCTATACCTCGGTCGGTGCTGCTACTCTCGCGGTTTCGGAGACCATGTTCGCCACCGCAATTTCTTCCGCGGGGTGATTCCCATCGGTTTACTTTGCTCGTTATTCGTCGAGTGATCGAGTGATGGCGATGTTTTTTTTGTTTTTGTTTTTTGGCCAGTTGGCATTTGTCACACCCACGTAGAGCGTTTAATCTGTACCGTACCGATGATGGTTGGAAAGAGGATCTTGGATTATTCAAATTTACGTTGCTTTTTAGCACAAAACAAAAGTAGGTAAATAGATTCAGGTGCCATTTTTTCATGTCTCATTTCTGTTACATCCAAGATCTGTAAATAAGATATCGTCAGAAATGGTTATAGCTACAAAAGTTGTGGATAAACTTTTAATGGAGATGTGCTCAAAATAACGGCGTTATATATATTTTTGGAGCACCAGTTGTATCATAATTGTTGAAGTCGTGAAATGCGTCAGTGCTATTTAAATTTATCGAAAAAAGCAATTGTACCAACCGAAAAAAAAAAATCCAATTCCAGTCTTTGTCCATTTCAGCATTTGAAATATTTCGATTTTCGTAAAATGACCCATGAGTTATTAAGATGTACCGAGGGATAAAGCTAATCGTAAAAAAAAAGTAAAATAAATAAATAAAAAATTACTTTTGAGAAAAAATAATAGCCTTTTTGCCGATTGGATTTCAGGAAAAAGTAAAGCGTTACTACATGAAAGAATTTTTACCTATAGGTAAAAATGTACCGATGTCGCAAGTTTGGATTTTTCATAAAAGGCGATTGCTGATAATTAGTTTTAAAGAAAAATCAATTACTATTAACATTTATTTAAGAAAAAAAGACCCATAATTGATAATCCGCTATTGTGAGTAGCCATGAGGTATATCGTAGAGAAAAATTGTCCATCATTGGCTTTGACAAGAAAGTAATTTACAAATGAAAGGTATGTCAGGCGAAATATTTGAATACTTACACAATCCAATATTATTGTATAGAAACATGATTCACATTAGAAACACCTAAAATGAAGCGTTTTTAAATGATTTCCGGGGTAAGAGCACAACTTGACTGTTCAGATAGCAAAAAACGTTTTTGTTTCCTCGTACTTTCACCGCTTGCGTACTTACCGTGAGTGCCATTTTTACGCTCCGGAATGAGTTCGATTGACGAATTAAAAATACTGCAGTACAAGCTTGAATCGCGTCATAGAAGGAAAAAAAAACCAAAATAGTGAATCCCCAGCCCTTTATTTTATAAAATAAGAAAAATAAATATATAAACGCCTCAAAATCGAATGGCCCACCGCCCTGCGTATATATACAGCAGCGCTTCCGTTCGTCTACAGCTCGCGGGCGCAAAGTAGTATACTTTTTTCGTGCACAACCACACACCGGAATATATATATACCACAACCCGCGCGGCCCCTATATTAAAAAGCTCTTTTCTTCGAGAAGCAGCACGAGAAAAAGCGCAAGAGGCGCAATCGAAAAATAATAACTATCGGCGCGAAAGGCGTCGTATATGAATGCGAGAGCTCGTACACATGTTCGCTTATATGAAAGAAAAAAAAAAAAAAAAAAAAAATATCGAGGCCGAGAGAAGAAGGAGGGACGCTCGGATCAGGCGTATAATTGCATAAGTGCGCCGCGGCGAGAAACGAGAGAGAGAGAGAGAGAGAGGATGGCTAAAAGATAGAGTCGCTGTGATAAATACACGCCNGTACCCCGGTGCACCTACGCCCACGCGCGACATTCACAAGGACGGAATGCACGGGTCTCGAAAGGAGGCTGCTGGAAAAAAAAAAAAAAAAATATCGAGGCCGAGAGAAGAAGGAGGGACGCTCGGATCAGGCGTATAATTGCATAAGTGCGCCGCGGCGAGAAACGAGAGAGAGAGAGAGAGAGAGGATGGCTAAAAGATAGAGTCGCTGTGATAAATACACGCCGTGTAATGCTGATTCTTTGGGGATGTATTTGCTCCCCCTCCAAGCATTTGATCGGATGTATATTTGTAAGGTGTGTAATAGTCGAGCCGTGCGTTTTACCGCGAGTATTTGAGCATTTTTGTGTAACACGTGATTCGTCCCCGATGCATATAGCGCACAGTGATTTAGCTAAGTATACATATACGAAGGGGTTCTCGAGTATTAAGCACATGCCCCACGGAGCGTCTCGTAAAATGGAATATGTAAATTTCTGCAAAATCCCCGCGCACTCGTGTGCGAGGCACATAGCTCTCTCTCTCTCTCTCTTGGTGCATACATAATAGGCATAAAATATATATCCTCTCGCGCGCGTGTCTTGTATTTATACGCACAAGTGGGCATACTATGTTGGTGGTAATTTTACACGATATATTCTTTTGAGTCTCTCTCTCTCTCTCTACTTGTAGGTGAGCGCAATCGTCGTCGATCTTATGCATAAATAAACAACTGTGTTGGGTCGCGCGAGCCAAAATGGAAATGAAAAAAAAAAAAAAAAACAAAAACAGAGAAATGAATGGACAAATGTATGAAAGAAATCGGTCGCGATAAGGGAAATGGAGGATAACTTATTGCAATAAATGCGAGCTTGCAGTTTTCTCGCAATCAAAGAAAGAGGGAAATACAACGTGCGAACAATTTCAAATTTGTGTACAATCGGGAAATTGATTTCTGCTCAGCGCGTGAATAATTGATTTCATGTGTATATACACGGCGTTACTTAACAATTTAATCTCGATTATGCGGCTTTGCACAACTATTCGCATACCTCGGGTGTTTTTTTTTTTTTTTTTTTTCCTTTTCATTCGGTCAAATGTACGCGCGCACCAAAACGATATCCCCTGCGATTCATTCAATCGGGAAAATAATTACCAAACGGACTATAGAATGCACAGGGTACAAGTCACTCGCCCAATCCAATTTTAATTCGAGTCTCTGTACGTATACGGATAATTCGAGCTTCGCTGGTTCATTGCATCCCCCCCCTCCCTCCCTTGGTCTCAATTAAGCGACCAAGACTTTCTAGACTTGACTCGGAGCGCGACGCGCGACCGCTCGATTAATTAATTAATCAAAGGTGGGAAGGGGGTATACACGCGCGCGCGAAGAAACTATCGGATCCGTATAATTCATAGCTTACACGACTTTGCTCTAGTCTCGGATCTCGCGCCCCCTCGTTGGCATTGAAAATCATGAGAAATCGATTTTTTCAAACTTTCGAGAAATATTTTTCCCGAAACAACTAACAAGATCGTGAGGTAATTACAAAATTACAAATTGAAGAGACATCTTCGTTTCTCGTACTTAAAAAATCGTTTGACTATACCCACCAGAGGCTAATTTAAAAAGCAACGAAAACTAAAACTCGTTAAAGTTTTGAAAATGAGTAAGCGGTGGTCAGTTTTAGTGATAACAATTGGAAAGTGACGCGATTGAAACTCATATTTCTATATGAGCTGAAGTTAACGACTATGATTTAGATGTTAATTTTAACTATACATTAATATTATTACAATGATATTATTCTATTTTTAAACATTTCAATTTGATTGTATAAATTTGTAAAGACAGAGTGATGTGTGTCAAGCTTAATTAAAACCAAATTTTGCGTCTACAATAAACAATTACTTGAACAAATATTAGCAATTGTATCACAATGTGGTACAGCATTATTGTTTTGAAAAATCCACTTTTTAGCAACAATTTATCATTTATATTATTTCTCGCACAGTTCTAGTTTATGAGTAATTTTTGAATGGTTTCAGTCTCGGTGGTGTTGTTTTACGGTTGAACAAAATTTCGTAATATCTAAATTTTTTTTTTTTTTTTTTTTTTTTTCTTACTGACCTCACCACGTAAACATAGTGTTGTCTCGTCTCGCTCTCACTCCAATAAATTATATACAGCTACAAGTAAGCTACGAACATTAAAAAAAAAAAAAAAAAAAGCTCCAGTCGATGAGCCTACGCAAACTGCGACTTTGGCATGCACCTGACGTTATACTTCACCACAGACCTAACAGCGGCCTGATCACCACCACCTGAAACCTCATGGCTGCACGCAAAGTAAAAACAAAAGTCCCCCCCGGTCTCCCCGATCTCCACCGCCAGTCTGCCCGGCACGTCGTGGCACTTGAGGTCGAGCCTCCACACCCTGGCCGGGCTCCCCTCGCCATCCCTGACCCTGGCCACCCTGACCTCCTTGCAGTTCTTGTTGTTGCCGTTGCAAGCCCCGTAAGCCAACAGAGCCTCGTCCTCGGCGACGTTGTACAGAGCCGCCCACTGGGCGCTTTCAACCACCACGTCGGTGTCCATCCTCACCCCGGCCCTGTCGTCCAGCTGCGCGCAGTGGAACCTCCCGTCCCCCAGGACGCACACGCCGTACAGCCCGTTCGCGTTGGACGTCGCGTGCAACAGCTGCCTGGGATCGCTGACGCCGTGGGCGGACATGAGGGGCACGAGGGCACCGTCCGCGCCGACGAGCATCGACCGGAACTTCCAGGAGACGACGTCGGTGCCGTACACGTAGAAGCCGTTCTTGGGCGAGTCGGGGCTCGCGGCTAGGCTGGTCACCCGGTCAAAGTTCGCGAGGGGGAAGGCGGCGGGGGTGCCGACTCGCTGGCCGTCTTGGTCGTGGCTGATGCGGCAGGTGGTCGCGTTGGCCGGTCGGCAGGTGTCCTCGTTGGTGACGATCACGTCGAAGCCGTGCGGGTAGACGATGACGTTGCTCAGGACGACGCGCTTCTCGACGTCGACGGGGTAGTCGAGCTGGCGGGTGTGGCAGGTCGGGAGGGACACGAGGCTCAGGCCGATCTTGTGCACTTGGTACTGGCTGTCTTTGAGGCGCTGCCACCAGACGACTATGGCCCCCGAGAGGCCGAGGAAGCGCTCCACCGAGACGATGCCCGTCAGCTCGTGGCCAAGGTCCGCGCTCAGGTTCAACTTGCAGCTGCTCTTGGAGGATTTGCTGCTGTTCCTTTTTTAACAAACGCGAGATCGTCGTTATTCGCTTATATACATTATTTTGGTCACTTGATTTTGTCTACGTGCCTGGTGCACATACGTACTTTGTCTCGTTTATTAAATGTTTCTAGTGACTAGAGAACTTTCGTTCTGTATTTTTTAATAACAATCCAGTTTTTGCACCGGGAGAAAAATATAATAAAAATTACTGTGCTAGAATGGCAATGTGGTTCTGTTTCGGTCGTCTAGGGACTTTTTACCATTTTAACAATGATTTTTAATTTTTTTTGTGAGTATAGTTATTTTTACCGTTCGTACAATGGAAATAACTGTCTAGCAGTGAAATGGTAAAAATTAGGTCGGCCAAAGTAAAAAGTTCCTTAGTGGTGAAATGACACCAGATTGCCATTCTAGGGCAGTAATTTTTTTCTCCTCTCAGTGTGTTTTAGTGAATCTCACAAACTCGATTTAGGGAATTAATCAAACACGGTATTTGGTATAGTATCGAGAAACTGTGTTCAACGTGTCATTTTTAAATGTTTGCTCGATACTTTACCACATGGTATAGATTAAGCCCTAATCTAGGGCCCACGTACTTGTACGTGTTGTGAAATTCACCCAAATATAATAATGATGCAACTAGAAAACAAACGTTTTATTTGTTGATAAGATAAAACTTTGTGTTTACGAGTCGAGTGTTACAACTATGTCATTGGAGATTTCATAAAAAGTGACGTAAATAAACTCCGATTAGAGAACCGCTGAGTTGAAACTTGGAAAAACGTAAAAAAAAGATCAACTGGTGTCATGATAATTTTTAGTCTTTGATAATTACAAAAAAATCAACATAAAAAACAGTGGTGATTTGTTATTCACGAGTTTTAAGCGACAAGTACTAAAAGAAACGTAACTCATACAAGTTAAAAGAGACCTATTTATGGGAGCGAAAAAAAAAGGTCGGGTCCTCACCATGCGTCAACAGGTACGTCGAGCTTGACGTCGCAGCTCATGCTGGACGGCAACCCACCGTCCGAGCACAAAACGAAGAGGAAGCCATGGTCGGCGTGAGCGATGGAACTGGCGTGCTTGAACACCTTGGCGTTTTGATAATTCCACTCCTTCCTGTAGCTCTTTTCCCCATTTTCGGAGGACCGGTGTTGCTGCTTTCTCGCGTCCGCGAGGAAATTCACGCACAACAGCCCGACGAGCAGGAGTGTTCGCATCGTGCGGTTGGGTGACCTACATTTTTTTGAACAATTTTAATGTCGTTACGATGAAAAAAAAATAAAGTCAAAACACCCAAACCCCTGAGTCATGTAACACTAAATGAGCTATTTTTCTTGGCGATTACTGTACAACGCAAACGTAATCGAGACGTGAAACTTACTCTGGTAACCTACACACACCCGTCAGAAGAAAGACGTCGCGATGCTGTAAGTGCGAGAGCCCAAGCTGAACTGTCCGCGCCCCACTAATCTGGATGCAATAAATTTCCCTCTTTCTCTCTCCTCCTCTCGCTCTTATACGCCTTTTCTTACGTATATACAAAAGGCGATATGATAAGGTTCGTACAGCACAACAGCCCGTATATATATACACATTTGATAATCCTCGTATCAGTTGTTACGACGAAAATGTTGTCTATAAGTACGCATAATAATGCGCACCATCTCAATATCTTCACAACTTGTGATTATAATGTATACAGGCCGCTACTGTTTTGGGACGCACTTCCAACCATTTTTTGTTTAAAACTCGTTTTCTTTTTGTTCATCGATACTCTTTGTCGTATATCGAATACCTCAAAGAGAAGAAAAAAAAAAAAAAAAAAAAAAAAAAAAAAAAAAGGAAAGAGGAAGCGAAGTTGTAAATACAATTTAATTACTATTATATGAATATCAAAAGCCGCGAGGTCTTTATTTCCCAAATGAATGAAAAATCCATTTGTATGGATAAATAAGGCAATTGCCGGCGAATGCGGGCATAAACAAGATACGCAATAATATAATACACATTGTACCTGGCGATATCGTTCAGGACGAGGCACTAAATCGCTCCGGTCCCCAATAGCCGCGGGGGCGCGGCCTCTCCCTCGGGGACCCATTCGGAGAGAAATTCATTAAGATTCAAATGGACCCGACATGCAAAACAGCTACCGCGTACGACGTTTGTCTGTGCATGTATATAATATACGTATATAGTGTTAATCGAGACTCGCCCACGATTCCAGGGATGTATTACGTCTGTCGGCGATTTTTGCGAGTAACAAGACATATCCAGTGCATTACGGCCAAAAAAAATGAATTTACATTTTACGGGCATCCAAGGGACATCTCCGAGTATCAAACTGTTGTCAGCGGCTTATCGGTGCGCCCTGGGTATCGAAAAACCGCTCGCATAACTCGCGGCTAACGAGACCCACACACACACGTGTATGTTGAATGAAAAAAAATTAAAAAAAAAGAAGAGAAAGAAATAAAACAACGGCAGCAACAACAATCACTTTGAATATCAAGTTTATATGCCCCTAACGTGGAATTTATGTGCCATCGAGGGAGAGAGACATAGACACGAGCTCGTATATGCATGGGCGCGCATGCACGGTATAACAAGCCCATAAGGAATGTATGTAGTACCAACACAGGATGTATGTAATATCGCGGCACATCCACCGATGTATACATGTATACACTATAGCGCGCCCAGATACGATCTGATGGCTGGTCGTAGGAACGATGCTATCGTCGCTCGTATATAGGTTTCGGATTACTTGTACCATATACTCGCCGATTACGATTTTCTTGGGCTGGTTTCGCCGGACCCGAGTCCTCCCTCTCCCGTGCTCACGAGAGAGAGAGAGAGAAAACACAGTGATTCGAGTGTGTGCATCGAGGATAATATCCAAACTCGCTCGTTATTTTATGGGCCGGCGATCGCGGAAGCCGCCCCTGATTACTGCCCATGCGTCGGTGAGCTTCGATGTTTGTTCAATCCTGATGTATAGCAGGTGCCAATGGACCACGCAATACATACCTTAAAGTGCACCTACTCGGGTTAAAAATTCAATTTAAATGCCAAGGCGAGGGCAGATGATGCTAATAGAGAGCATGGGTGCTCGGGCACACACAGCTTCCACCAGTCCAACTTCAATAAATTAATTCGTTAAACGACTACAAGATTCGATTTGATGCTTCCCCTCGTGCTTTACTGGATTTTTTTTTTTTACTCGCGTATTTGGGATTGTGGACGTGCTAAACCGGGACAAAAAGAAATTGGGCTTAATACTGGTTGGTACTCTGGTTGTTTTGGAAAAACACGACCAAGTCAGCGACGAAGCACGTGTGTTCTCGCGTACTGGACTGGAGGGATTTCCGGGATCCTGCTGCATCTCAATCAACCAAAGATCCTCAGTTTCAAGGGAGCCTCCGTACGATTTATCTCTCGCAAGCGCTTTTCAACCTTTGGATAATACATTAAAAAAAAAAAAAAAAAAAAAAAAAAAAAAAAAAAANAGAACTTGTATATTTTATGCCTAGGTTTATTTTTGTACATACAATTTCGATTCACTTCATATGTTTATTTATTCGAGTTTTTCTGTCTCGAGTCTTTTTTTGCAATCACGAATTAAATTATGTTACCAAATGTATAACTATATTGAAAAGCTATTCTATAATTTACGCTAAATTACGCAAACCACGCGTTATTTTAAATCGATTTGATTAAATTCTCATTAGAAAATCACATCAACGCGTCAACAATAATAAAGCCCTTATACTTTACTCTTGAGTAAAATATCAGCAAGCCCCTGCCTGACAGACTCTGCATGAAAAAAAAAAAAAAAAAAAAAAAAAAAACTTGAAAAGTGCCAGTGCACCCATAATAAAACATCCGAAAAAACATAAATGTCCGCTAATTAAGTTAATGAAAAGAGATGCGCATTTTAACGCAAACTAGTAACGCAAAAAAATAATGACGATGTAATAATCACAGCTAGATGCAAATGAAGATGACCGCAGTTTAGCACGCCATCAAACATAACGCGCTCCCAAATGAGGGACTGCAGGGAGCGAGGGGAGAAAAAGGTCCCTCGAGTCTTGGAAACGATTAATGCAGTCAAGTCGGTGTTTAGGGGCACCAGAGCGCTCCAAGCATTGCAGTCACTCCGTACGTCAGTGTGAACCTGGTCGCCGTACTCGAAGGGGCTTGACGAAACATCTATGCTCTTTCAATCAATAACGCACGGATGTACATATTAATTGTTGAAGGAGCACGTAATTACATAGAAAAAAAAAAACAGGAGGAACCCCTTGCATGTGTAAACCTCGGTTATTCGTAAATGACAATGGATCCGCGAGTTGACCTACATAGCTTGTCGCAAATCGCTTCGCTGTAACAATGTATCACCGAGCATTTGCTCCAATTTTTTCTTTTTTTTTTTTCTTTCTACCATCCACCCAAGAATGTCCTCCTGGACAAAGTGAATTCGCGATATTCCCACAACGAGCCAGGCGAAAATGTTTTTTTTTTTTCTCCCCCAGAAAACTACTGCGCACTTTTTTTTTTCTGCAGCCATAAAAATTCCTCATACCCCCATTGCGCAAAGACAACTGAAAACAACTAACGGAATACATACATAACGCGGGCATTCCGTCTCTCTTTTCGTCCACCCTTTTTCTGTCCGTCTCTCTCTCTCTCTCTCGTCATATCTGCGCCGAGAGAAAGCGGGGGACTTTGAACGCGCCGACCGCAGATTCCTCGAGCGTCAGCAAAGGCAACGGAATTTCGTGGGTGGAACCGAGAAGTGTCCTCGGGCTCGGGGAGTGAAGAAAAGTGCATGTTTCGCGGTGTACACATACATACGCCTGGACGCCGGTGTGCTAACGCGCGCCGCATAACTGTGCGTTTTATTTGCCCGCGGGCCGCCCTGGATCATCGTAATTAAGGGTATTTCGCTTCTCTGCCCTCGTTCTTTTTTTTTTTTTTTTTTTTTTTTTTCTTCTTTCCCGAAAGGGCCGTGGCCCTTTGGACTATACCTGCCATTGCTTTGCACGATTTTGAGAAAAGACACGCGAACGGGAACAATCATCGGACAATCATGTCGAGCACACAACAGCGATGTATAATAGTATTTTTATTTTTATTAAAAACATATCAATGCTCGTACAATTTGGTTATTTTTAGGTATATATCCCCAATGGGGGAAGGGATGACCGATCTGGGATCCACGCGGTACGGAATGCAAGTCTTGTCGCAGACGTCGACCTTATACTTGTTGATTATAGTGGCTATGCCGATTTTCGTCTGATAGTGGGCGAATCGGGATCCTAAAAAGATGCGTACAAATGTCAACTCATTTATAAGATACACTGATTATTAAGTGCTTAAATTTACCTATGCAATTGTGGGGTCCATCGCCAAACGCTAAATAATTCATGGGGTGTCTTCTGCTTTCGTTTTCGTTGGAAAATCTTTCCGGGTCAAACTTTTCGGGGTTGGGATAAATTTCGGGGTCGTGGTGTATCGCCCAAACGGGAATGACGACCTTGAAGTTTTTCGGTACTGTCACATTCGTCCCGTTGAAGGTGTACGGAGCCGATGTGCTCCTAAATAGCGAAGCTCCTGGAGGATATTTCCTCATAGTTTCTAAACATCATCAAGAAATAATTAGTTTAAAATCTAAATATAGGTTCCTAAAGAAAAACAATTTTCCCCTCACCTTTGAATACTTTATCCAAGTACTTTAAATCCCTGATACTTTCGTAAGTCAATTTTTCCGATTCCTCCATCGATTTTCTGATTTCTTCTCGCAGCTTTTCTTGCACATGTTGATTGAGTGCTAATTCGTACAGTGCGTTGCTCATCGTCGTAGACGATGTCTCGAATCCAGCGAGAAAAAATAAAAAAGCTTGGGACGTCAACATATCGTTGGTGAACTCTGCAACAAAATACCGGTGTATTGAATTTCCTTCACTAACTTTATTTAATAAATAAATGTAGTTTACCGAAATCATTGAGCTTGTCCGGTTGATCCCTCAGGTCCACGAGTAGATCGACAAAGTCGTTTCTCCTGACGTTATTTTTTTTCCTGTAATCCACTGTATTATTTATGGAGTCGATGAAAAAGTCGATGGCTCTGTTGTACACGATTGGCTTCAAAAATCTGTAGAGCCGAGGAAACATATCTCGACACGTGCGCCTCAGGGTATTCTTCAAGTTGCTGGCCATCATAGCCCTACCAGCGTTGCGAAAGCCGCTGTTCTCGTCATCCAAGGCGTTCATGTTCAAGCCAAAGGCGCAGACTCCGATCGAATTGGTGGTATACTTTGCGGTCAATTCACGGCACTCTATCGACTCCTCTTTCTCCACCAACTTGTCGACGTACTTTTCAAAGTGACTGGCGCAATCTGCCATCAAGTAAAACATTTCCTTCAGTTTTCCTGAACTGAAAACCGGCGACAATTTGTTCCTCAGTGGCCGCCATTTCTCGTAGCTCAGGTTCAACAGACTCTGATTTACTGGATCGTTGTTTTCGATTCTGCTAGTGAAGCCACGATCGGGAAAGGAATTAAAATCTTTGATGAGCACGTCTCGTATGAGTTCGGGGTCGCGTATCAGTAGTATCGGCGAACTTCTGTTGAAGATACCGACTAGAGGCTCAGTTTTGTAATAATCATAGTATTGTTTCATCAGAAGGCCAAAGTGAATTTTGAGGAACAGCACATCCTTCATGTTTCCGAAAAGTAGCAGTGGTTTTGGACCTTTGACATTTCTTTTCTTCCAATAACTAAAGTTTTTGGTAAGATAGTAGTACGCAACGAGGAATAGGATGCCTATACCAGCTAGTAATTCGGTGACTCCGAACTCCATGGTAAATCTCTATAATTAGGTATTACTAACAAATTAAAACAGTAACTGACTTGGTTAACGCAATAAATAATTTTTGTACTTCTGAATAAAATACCTTACAGCAATTCTTCACAAATTGATAAAGATCGTTATAATGCCAGGCAATGAAATAATATCTTAATTCGATACGACGATTGGAAACGATATCTTGTCTTTTTTACATCATTTGTTGAGTAGAAACGTATTATATCTTTTTTCTGTAAAAATGAACGATACAATACTAGAACTTTAAATAAGTCCTGACTTGCTGATAATTATTGTCGATGACAATTGTTACAGAAAAAAGTGTTGGTTTTTTAATAAAAATAAAATGAAACTATATGAGAAAAAAATATAAAAAATATTTCTAGAATATTCCGCCAATGTTGTATGAGCGCTCCAAGCATTGCAGTCACTCCGTACGTCAGTGTGAACCTGGTCGCCGTACTCGAAGGGGCTTGACGAAACATCTATGAAAAATAATTAGGAACAAGACTATTTTTTTTGTGCTCAAATATTTAAACAAAAAACTGTTTGATTAAAGTTAAGATAAAATAAAATTACGCGTAATTTTTGAATTTTCTCTTGAATAATACATTACGTCCTTTATACTGTTTTATTAATTGTAAATTTTTTTTTCATAAGGAGNAAAAAAAAAAAAAAAATAGCTTGATGAATCGTCCGAAGGGGCTTAATAAGCTTTTCAATGAGTGCCCGCACGTCATAAATTCATGCGTTTTCTCGGTCCCGATCCCACGATCTTCAAGCGCGTGGGCGACGACGACTCGATTCAATTCGACGTAATTATACGCGCGCACCGAGTGGCACAATGGACCACTTTCTTTGGATTAAAAAAACCCCTAATAGACGAGCCCGACGACAAACGAGTTGATTTATCGCGTGGTGTGTCGCTTGTTGTTTTCCACTGGTATATACACGCACAATGTGACCATTTTTTATCACTTTGGGCTCGAGTGTAAATCAAGCGAGTTCAACAAAATCTCCGCTCTCCTCGCACTTGCAGCGACAGTCCCATGGGCTATCCCGAAGGAGACGGCCTCGCGTTTCGAATTTTTCATAGGTACGCGAGAGAGGCGTTCATTGAATTCGCGGGGCCCGCACTACGAGGGTCGTTCATCATTTTCGCCGAGCGCAAAGTAGAAAGAAGATCCCTGTGTGCGCGGGTGACGCTCATTCCCTCGCACAGGTGGTCCCCACCATGGTATATATAGGCACACGTTACCCCATTGTTACGAAAAAGCGTAGGAAAGGCACGCGAGTCCCCACAATACCTTTACGTATATAAGCGTGTGACGGCGATTAATTTCGCGGTGTGTGGGACCGGAGCTCTTTTTTTGGAAACCCCGCGGCTGTGGGGGAATCAATTACCGATTGATTGCCAAAAAAAAAAGAAGATAAGCGTAACGTTATCCCAAATTGCATATGTACTCGAAAACGCGGGAAATTCCCAAGATCGCGATAAGGAGGTATGACATAGACGCAAGGGGGGGGTTATTAAAACAGCGTAAACACGCGAAAACTAATGACTCGAGGAGGGAAGGAAGAAGGAGAACCCCCGCCTGGGGAATCGTCAACGCCGATAAATCAACCTGCAAACGGCCGGCTAATTTTCCAATTCCCCCCCCCCTATGCGATATTTGTCAACGCGTCCTCGCATTCCCTATGTGTGTATGTTACGTACGCAAGAGAGCATGCACACGTTAAGTATTTCCGATCCGACAATTTTATCGTCGTAAATCTTGAAAATGTCACTCCCACGCCACAGTGTCTTCTTTTTTTCTCCTTGCAAGTTCATACAACCTTGTAAATATATAGCTGTGTCAACTGGACGAGCTGCCAATTGGTCTCTCTTTTTTTTGGTGTAAAATCGAGAGAGTATTTCTTTACAGACTTTAGGAAAGTTTGGACGAAAAATTTTTTTTTCCTCCCGAACAAAGCAAATTTTTTCATTCATAACAACTATTCACTGAGAAAAATGTTGTTTTCAGCCGAAACGTGCAATACGTTTGAAATACTCAAGTTCATTGCAAAATATTTAAAATATAACATTTGAATACTTCTTCAAACACTTTGACTATTTATTTCATCTGAATTGTTTTTCTTTAAAATTATAATTTACGATTGCTGCAAACAATTGTTTATACGCAACAAAAGTTATACTTCCAAAAGATTTGAAAAGCATCCAAAAGTCTTTGTATTTCAGTAAAATCAATTCAAAAACAGTAAAAAACAAAGGAAAAACTTCCAGACGACTAAATGGCACCAGATATACTAGCACAGTAATGTTTACAATTTTTCTATTGCCCAGATTGCCAAGGTTGATAGCAAATGCAGAGTAGCGCTTTGAGACTTAACTGAAAAGATAAAGAAACAGCTGGTTGGTGGTCGTCGTGTCCCAACAACTTCACGCCCACGTCATATTCGACGGCAAAACTTCAATTACACATAATGGCACTTTCCCCACACGCGTATACACGTATTACTCGCGGCACGATCGAGAGAGACGAGCGCGCTACGCGTGTGTGGGTACAGCGTCGTGGAAAAAAAGTAAAGTTTTGACAATCAAGTCGGCAGAGCGGAAAATGAAAAAAAAGAAGAAAAAAAAAAAAAAAACATCACGCGAGGCTTAATTGTTATTATCTCCCCTTCGTGTGCGTAAAACCGCCCACCCAAGCGCCACTCGCCCGTACGTAGGTATATATACACATGCACCAGGTAGCAGACCACCGGTAAGGCGTGCTCGTTGTATTCAAGACGCGGATAATTACAGGTGCGCCGCGATTGTTTTGCAAGTGGAATCGAAGATCGAGCGATATTATACAGGCCGAGTATACGTAACGATAATATTTTTTTTTTTTAAAGCAAATGTACGTGTCGCCTACGCTAAACGACACGACATACAAATACATTCGATCCCTCCTATTTTGACAAATGAGTCGCGTTCGCATACACGGGCGTATTTAATTGAAAGCGTCGTGAAAATAGATTTTAATTTTCCAGGGGGAAACAAAAAAAAAGAAAACACGAGCAAGCTGTTGCGTGGCGGGGGACCCGTTCGCGAAATCATTTAACACGCCCACGCGCCGGCTGCACATAGGCTCTTTGGCGCGGCCGGGCGAAATCTAGTGAATTACGAGCGCGTAAACTCCACACCACTCGAAAGCCCGCAAATGAGATCCGGGAAACGTTTGCCCTCTACTGTCCCTCCTCGCGTGGATATAGCGTGTCATGCACATTGGCGTGCATAAAGAGCTTTGAAGATGTGAAGAAAAAAAAAAAAAAAAAAAAAAACACGTATTACGCAACAATTGCCTCATATACACAGATAAATTAATCCATCGTGTACGTATACAGTTGTAGCCGAACGTTGACACAGACCATGTAACCCCTATTGTACACGATATACACCGATACAGAAAAATTGACCGCTCGCAGCGCGTATAAATCGGACACGCGGCTAATGCAACGCCCCCAACAAAGCGATTCGTCGGTAGTAACAAGATAATTGCAAAACAAATACAATAATTCAATAAGCCGCGAAATCGGGGTCCGCGTCGTGTACGACAAGTCCCGCGAACACGCCGCCCAACGACACCGACACACCGTGAAATACTCGCTCATGTATACAATCCAAAAGAACGGGTCTCCGTGTGTATATGTACGATACGCGCATGGTAAATCAACCGGGGCTTTCTAAGCACAAAAAAACAAAAACAAAAAAAGCAGCAACAACAACAACAACGGCAAACCTATAGTGTCTCGCTTGTCCTTTTCCGTTGCGAGCGACAAACACGCGCGGCTGTGCGTTGTACGCGCGTACCCCGGTGCACCTACGCCCACGCGCGACATTCACAAGGACGGAATGCACGGGTCTCGAAAGGAGGCTGCTGGAAAAAAAAAAAAAAAAATATGTGTGTGTATATATGATCGGCCTCGCGACCGGCATCGGAATGCCGCGGACCATAATAAGAGAGCTCTAGCCGTACGGGGTAGTAGGGGGAGGGGGACCATGTTATTTACAGTTGGCTGTCGATTCGAGAAGCATACGTATATAGGAGAGCCTAAGTACCCACGTGCGCGCGCGTGTGTGTATAAGGTACGCGCTCGTGCTCTGATAAGGCGAATTGATTCTCTTTTTTATCGCCCCCCCCCCCACGATTTTATGGGGGCCCGAGTATTTGGTAAATGGATTTTGAGACAGGTATTTGAGGATCTTTTTTTTTTTTCCTTTGTGAAATTTTTCAATACTTCATTTGCCTTTTGATACCGCACAGGTACATAATATATAGTGTGGTGCCATTAGAGGCTTTTTTTGTCCAACCTAAGCAGCTACTGATATTAACGAGTGTTTCATAATGTGACGTAGCTATATGTATACGGGGTCTTGTAAATTTATTTGACGCTTTCTTGAGCCATTGAGTCGTGTGTTTGTCCCGAGGTGAAAGCGAAACCGCGGTATATTCCGCAAAAGTTATACGCGCTTCTGTCTATGATAATTTACGACTGGCCGAGTGAAAAATGAGTTTTAATGCCCCGTTTATCTCGGGAATAATACGGAGTTTTGCGGATTCCCGTCTTGTTTTTTACACCCGCGCTTCGACGTACATCAATGAAGGCGTAACTGCACGGGAACAAATTGTACGCATAAGATAAACCTTAACGGCTCTGATTCATCATCGCTTCGGGAATCAATATTTTTATAAATACATGCACGTGTAAATGTAACATTATGGATTGTGGTATTGTATCAATGTTCGTGGTCCTGAAAATGATGCTCATGTAAATAATTGTGATCATCAGAATCTTGTTCGATGTGGTACAATGAGTAACGCAACGGTATCTCTAACTGACCTAAAGTTATAGTTCGATACCGGAACATCTAAGTAACGAACAGCCTAATGCCACGTCAGAGACTGAAATAAAAATAATCATTGATACGCTCCACAAGGGAGAAGAATCGTTCGTCATGTAACTTTTTACCGATTCTCGTGGATGACTTGATTGAATTTTTGCCTGAAATTATGAGTCATCATGCCTTCGCTACACTCTGTGGAAAAACATTTTGGATGGAAAAAAAAAAAAAAAAAAAAAAAACTCATTGGTTCATCTTTACACCTTAGATAATATCAAATAAAACAATATCGTTTCTCTCGTTACTGGGAGAAATCGGTAACCACAGCCCAAAGACCCGTCATAAAAAATAATTTACCAAGAGTCAAAGATGAAAAAAAAAGGTAACGATGAGGCACTTACCAAATTCTTCCACCTTCGAAATGATCAAACAAAACGAAACTCCGAAAGGAAAGATCGATCTGTCGCGGGGAGATGGAACTCCCGCCGAGCGCCAGCGTTACACTGGATCACACGGAAATCTGGCCCGCAGCCAACGGGATGTATATTTCACGAGAAAAACGTCGTCCGCGAAACGCTGTCCCGTCCCTTTATATCCTCGAATGATATTCATATGCACAACAGATCAATCATCTCCTACTGTTTGATGGCGGGATCCAAAGATTCGGGGGAGCAAAATGTAAAAAAATACAAGCACACGACTGCGATGGTACCGTCGAGAAATGTAAGCGCCGCTGATACGAAGACGTCTCCGTCCGATCTCGCGTGTTTGGCCCACGCGACGAGACGGCTCTATCGGTACACTCCGATCGGTATTCTCTTCCATGCACGTATTTTAATTTTGACGCGTTCTTACGCATTGCGGGGTATAGGTCCTGTGGTGTATTTTCTGAGAATAAGATATACAGTGGGAGTCGACGGTTATTGCGTGTGTAATACAAAAATCACACGGTCGGGGAGGCCCGATGGATTAGGAGGAGAAAAAAACCGGTACGACCTGCCCCGAAATCGGTACTTACTCCGCGAGTTCTGATAAATCAAACCGCACGTGCGTACACACAGGTACATGATTAAAAGCGACCCGACGCATAATACATAATTCACCGATCAAATCTCCTTTTCGTGGGCCGCTTACAATATTGTGACAGATGTGCGCGTTCTCGCGCATGGGAAATTTATTTAAATTGAATAATCAATGCGTTTGGGGATACCGCGCGCGTATATACAGAGATTATATACACACGTGTAAGTACGGCGGCTCTTTTTTTTTTTTTTTTTTTTTTTTTTTTTTTTTTTTTTTTTTTTTTTTTTTTTTTTTT